TTTATCATATTCTTCTACTCTTATAATTTTTAATATTTTCTAAGTTAATTAATTTTCTTAACTTTTTTTTAAATTTAATTTTATTACTTGATTGATTTCATTTTAAATAATGTTCTAGTTCTTAAATAAATTATTTTACATATATTTTTTAATTTTTTCCCTAATTTTACAAATAAAATTTGGAGTCCGATTTCGAAACTGTCACAGACAATGACGTCAGTTTCAACCAAGAAAACCGCCACTAGCAAAGCACTGTTGGATCAAGACTCGATGGAGGTCGCCGAGTTTTGTTCTCAGAGATTTGTTTGGTTGTTTCAGCATTAATGGCGGCTGCGGTGTTTTTCATCAACTGGGTTTTTTGGGCCTCTGTACTGGCTTGCGCAAGAACAATGTTCTGGGCAATCTTCTAGGACCCAGTTCATTATTAATTAAAACTGATGTATTAATTTATTAATTAATCATTAATAATATTATTTTAAAAATGCTGACATGGATAATGGTGCGGTGCCCATGTTAATAAATTTAAAATAAATATATACCTGATTTGCTGATATCATGTAAATTATATTTGAAAATTTTTAAAAAATAGTATAGAAAAAAAGTAATAATATATTTGTTTTGCAAATATGATTTTAGTTAATAATAACCAGGTAATTAACCCTTAAAAAAATCTGAGAATTTTTATATTTTATGTCACATTGTCAAAATTCTCTCTTAAATTTGAGATTAAAATGTTGAAAAATAAAAAGAATTTTGGCCTCTGTCACTGTGGCTTGCATCATAAATTTGCTTTTACAAAGTTTTCTTCATCGTGAAACACAACCAGTTTGCACAGACAAGACACGCTGCCCTGCAAGATTCCGCACATTCAAAAAGCTGCATATTTTCTCTTCCTACTTTGACACGTTTTTATTTTTTTATTCTTTTTCCTTTTTCCCCACTTCAATTTTAATTAATGCCCAATGTGCTCTACACACAATTTCATTTTCATTCTCCAAATTCCACTCTACCAATATATTTATATATATATATGTGTGTATATATATATATTAAACAGTGGTGAGAGGAGAGAATGAGAAACGCTGCAGTCACAGGCAAAAACCCAAGTCCATTAACATTGACCTCTTTAAGTATTTCACAAGTTGTGACTTTCAATTCTAAACGCCCGTGACCTCAAAATTCATTCCTTTTTCATATCCCAGCAAGAAAAATCCCATTCTCCAACATCCTCATTTCTCACACCACCAACATAAGACCTTTATGCAAAGTTAACCTGCTTTTCCTTTATATATATATATATATATATTAAATCATCAGTAGCCCTAATAATCATTACCAACATCTTTATACATCACATTACTACTACTATACTATATTACTCAAGCTTCATACCCATAGATTAGATTCAGAAACTCAAATTTAAAAATAAATAAATAAAACCCAAAAAGAAATAGCTCAAATGAAACCTTGTTGTTGTTGTTGTGAGAAACTAGACAAGGGTAGATTTGCGGACGATGTAACGATAAGCAGCAACCTTCTTCTTCCTAGAAGCAGTGTTATCAACAGAGAGTATCATCTTCCCTGCTTCTCTCGGCGTGAATGAGTTGTGAACTGCTTCATCTGACGAGCTCATCTTCCTGGGTTTCTCTACGGCTATGGCGTAGCTACCTTCTTCGTTTGGCACGAACTCTGCGCTGTACTCCAGATCCCATCCTCCTACAACTATGTCCCATGTTATTGTAGCACCACCCTCAATCCCTTCTATTTGAATGTTCACTTTCTCTCCCCCCTTTATGGTGAACTCGGATGCGGGTTTGGGTGGACCGTTCTGTAAATCACTTGGTCTACTTAATCCACCATACTGTATTGGAACATCTTCAGGCCTTATAAACCTGGTTTGGCATCTCGCCAGAGACAAGTTACAATATAAAAATGAGAAAAAGTACCAGTTCCAGTTCAACTAAAAACCAAAATAGAGATGGTAAAAAGCCAACAGGGAACCCAAAAGACAAATTTGGAAACTTGTACTAGTTAAAGGAAAAATTTCCCACTACCATATGAAAGAAACTCACTTGTAAAGTGTCTCTGCAGCATTTCCTTCCTTAGAGATCACGAACTTGCTCTTAGTTCGCTGAGTGAGGAACGGACTAAACATTGAATACAGTACGCTGAAGTACCATGGTACATTGATGAATATCTAAACCAGAAATTCCCCAGAATAAGTTGAAAGGAAATAGATGAGGAAAGTTGATTACAGATAAAGTAAAACAAGAGCACATATAATATATACCTTTCGAGCTACCATTTCAGGGTAATTATCTTGAAACAGAGACAGGATGTGATTAGAAGCAACTCTGAGCTCTCTCTTGGGCATATCTTTGAGATCAGTCACCTGGATAATGGAGTTAACTCCTCCAGGTTTAAAATGCAGGAGATTTATGCCTCTCTCAAGTACTTGAACCCTCCATCTAAGAAACTTTTTTAGCTTCTCCTCGTCTCCGAAGATCCTCTCGTACATATCCTTGTCTCTAAACACTCCATATGCATTATAGCATACAGGATGCCCCTCTCTGTCATAACCATGCATGTACGCCACCAAACCTTCAAGCTCCTTGAACCCCAGGTCCTCCTCTACGACACCGTCTGCCCCAAACTCTCTCCTCCAAGTCAAGCACTTGTCCAACATGTGAAACGAGTCGTTCACCCTGAAGTCCCTGGCTCGCAAGAACTTCAATAGTATGACATCGGCTTTATCATTGCCACCCAACAAAGGAATGCCCCACATGGAGCAGTCTTCAGACCCATAGGAAGCCATAAGCTTGTCCTTCAGCTCTTGCAGTGCTTTCCTCTCCGAGGACTTGAGGTGAGAGACGAAGTAGGTATCCTCCTTGAAGGAAGTAGAGCGAAGAGTGGCGGCCTCCATTAAAGTAGTGACGAAGCTCTTCTTGTAAGGCTTTGGCGAGGCCTCCGGAAGTTCTTGCAGAGGAGTTTTCTGTTGGAGGAACATGGGAGATGAGGCTTCCATGAATGGATGCTTTGAGAGAGACCCAAATGGAATCTCCGCTACAAAAATGCAGATCTTCAACAGGCTCTGCGTTACGTAAACAAATGCAGACTGGAGGTTTCGAGAACTTGATTCACGGATTCTCTGCGGCGCAGAGGTTTGCTGAAGTTTTGCTTGCAGAGCAAGGGAAAGCGATTACTAGTACAGAAAAAGAAACCAAACAGTAGGTAATTAAGAGAGAAAATAGAGAAAGAGGGAGATGAGCCGCGATTTTCGTTTGAACATTCAAAAGCGGCTTAAAAAGGAGTAAATTGGGGCAAATTTGGAATCTTTGGCAAGTGATTTCACTCGCTATGATGAGCGCGTATAACGTTAGCATGTATTGGAGCTCGAGCTGAGACAAGCCTAGCCTAGCCTAGCCGAGCCGTACCCAGCCAAGTGATTATCTCTGTACGGACAAAATTTGCAGAAGGGTGGCTTGTAAAGAAGGCGATAATAATTGAGGATAGAGTGGGGCAAGTAGCTGAGCACGGGGCTTTTTTGGTTGGGTTAGGGTCTAAATCCCGGGACCCACAAAGTGACTGGTTTTTCTCTGTGGGGCCCGCTCTCTCCTACACGCCTCCCAAGCTCGAATTTCGGGCGCCAACAGATATCGCCACTCACACCACCCCAGTAAGGCACATTTCTCTCCCAGCCAAACACTCGAAGAAAAAATAAACGAAACTTGAAATAAAAATTGGGAATGTTTAATTTTTAATTTTGGATTAAACCCAAATTGGTAAATTAAATAAATAAAATATTAATTGAAAAATAATTTAATGGAAAGGTGGAGAATGAGATATATAGGGCCTAAAAATATATTTTCCATATTAATGATTGTTAAAACAGCAGAATCTAGTGTGGCAGGAGATGAGAAGACATAGATAGAGACACAAATGTGAAAGGGCGGAAGAAATAGGAAAGCATGAAACATCGTTATCAAGCCAATTTCAAGGCGCATAAATCTAGGCCGCTGATCTGATAATCATGATTGATTGGCCTATATATAGTCTCATCATCACACGGCTAATAATAACCCTATATCAACCACGTTCCAATTGCTGATTTATACTCTTTATGCAGTTTCAGACAATTTCCTTTGATTCCTATTAATTTTGCTAATTGGTATTTTTAAAGGATAATTAATTGATTACAACGTGCCCTTAATTCGTGGAATGTGAAAATCACATTTTTCTTTTGTTTTCTTTTTTGATTCAATGATCTAACTTTTTTCTGCCCAAAAGAATTAAAAAAAAAAAAAAAACAAGGTGGGATAATTTATCAAAGCCATAGGACTTGAAAAGGCATTGAGACACTTTCGGGCCCACTTTTGAGGGGGGGAAGCCCCGAAATTTTTGCATTGGATTCCAGTTTATAATGTTAAACAAATCAAGGATGCAAAACGGCAACTTGTTTTGTCGTCTAGGGGTTTGCTTATGTTTTACATTTGATCATATTATATATCTTATTGTTTTTAAGTATATTAATCATTTTACCCACTTCACCCCTTTACTTTTTTGAATTTCTTAAATTGTAAAAAAATGTGGTTTTGCTGCTATTGGATTAGCCAAGGTGATAAATTTTGAAGAATGAAGAACACGTTTTCCCTGTTTTTGACTTCCATCATTCGGTTTTATTTGGATACACAGGGAATAATAATTATAACTAAGGTTTTACTTCTTATATCACATTCAATTTTATGTATGCAATGCAGTTTATTTTAATATTTGTATTTAGTTTAACTAAAAAATTATAAAAAAAAATTAATATGTAATCTGAATTCTATTTTGAATTATGGAGTAAGCCAACATTTACCATAGTTTTGTGTGAGTTACTGAATTAATTTCGAAAAATAGCTTATTTGTTATAACATAATCTAGATTTATTATTTTTATAAATAAATATTTATTTTTTGTATAATTAATACATATGTAAACATTCTATACCAACAAATTTTGTTATTTTTCAAAAAATAATTCAATCATCATTATTTAATAAATAAATATTTTAAATGAAAATCATGTAATAATATAACTAATAATGTTGATTTTATATAGAATACCAACTACTTATCATGTTGTTTGCCTGCACTTTTCTGATTATAATTTATGTGATGTTATATTATTTTGTAATTAAATAAGAAAATTTGAATGAATCAAAATAAAAGTTAAAATTTGTTTACATAGATAAACATAAAAACAAGTTTCACATATTTTTCAAAAATTGCTTATGCTTTTAAATATATATATATATATATGTGTAAATGATTTCTTTAAAAAATTATCCTCTTATAAATTATTTAATTGAATACTACCTTATTATTTTGTTAATGAAACTATAATTGCCATCATCACTCCACCATCTTCTTCATTATTTGCCTCTATAGTACATTAGCATACACTTGATTGTGGTGGTTGTTCACGTGTCTTTTATGTATTTTATTCATAAACTATTTCATCAACTGCGTGTTCGATTATCTTACCGGTCTCTTACTTTATATTTAATCATCAATTTAATAACTTTTTTTATTTTAATCGTTTCTAATCATTTATTATATTTTATACAGTTATTTTCACGAAAAATAACATAATTTTTAACTATTATTGAGTCAAATATTAAAAAAATTATAAGAACGTTGAGTTAGGTTGAATGTTCGACTTATATTGTGTTCTACAGTAACCCAATATTGAATGGTTAAGTTAGATTGTGAACATCATAAAGTGTTGAATTTATATTATAATTAAGTGTACAATATAAGATGAGTTATCTATTCGACGAATAAATATTAACTCAAAATTAAAAGATTAAGTACGAAAACATAAATTGGGAATCACTAGATGATTCAATAAAGAACTTGGATGATATTAATTTACAAGTGTGATTCATGCTTATTGGCTTGGTATAGTCTTTATAGTGTATGAATAATGGTATCGTGTAAGTATAATAGTAAAGTTGACCACCACATATCAAAACAATTATTTAAAAACTTTTAAGAAAAAAAACAATAGGAGGGCAATAAA